AGCCGCCCCCCCCCCCCCCCAGTGATCCGTCTAGCTGGCTGAAGGCAATGGGCTCCCTGAGGCGCCGGACTTGTAGTCCGAGCTCTAACACTAGTGCTGGGTGCATCAGGCAATGTGTACACCCAGAGTTCAGCAGTGCCTGCAGTTGCGCTTCAGCCCCGGATCCTACCCTGCAGATGTGTACCCTCACCCGCATGGGATGGCAGTCCTCATTTGCTATTGGATTCACGCATCTCGGCTCCTCTGCCCACACTGGGACGCCATTCAGTGCGAGCGCGCCTCGTTTCCTGCCAGCTCCGACTCCTCCCCGGAGGATGCCATCTCGGGGGTCGACCATCCGGCCCTGCCGCGCTTTGCCGTCGCTGCCACGACACCCTTCTGCAGCCGATCACCCACTCGCTTCCCGGTTGTCCGCGCTGGCTTGGCCTCTGAGAGGGGTGGGACCCTGTCTCGCTCCATCGGGCACTGCACCGCCTGGTGGCCTCGCCCCCCACACCAGAAACAGAGGGTTGGATTTCTCACTGCCTCTCGCCCCCCTGTGGGCTGTCGCCGGCTACTCCGTCCCTCCTCTGTGGCTTTCTCCCGTGGTCCATCTCTCGTCGCCTCCCATTTCCTCGAGCTCTGCTGGATCTGCCGCCACGCTGACTCCACCATCCCGGCCAGCCAGATCCAATCCTTCACGGTGGTTGGGTTGTCCCAACCCAGCGCCCGTTCGAGGATCTCCGGGTTGAGGCCCCTCTTAAAATAGGTCACTCTCAGGGACTCCGGCCAATCCGTGACCTTCTCTGCCAGCCGCCGGAATTCCAGCGCATATTAGGCCACCGACTTTTCTCGCTGCCTCAACCACAGGATGTCGTCCCCGGACCGCCTAGCACTTAAGGTATCCTCGAACTGGTCCCAGAGTGCCTGCATGAACTCCGGGAACCTCCACAGTTCCGCCACATCGGCATCATATAATTGGACCACCCAACTGCCTGCTTGGCCCTCTAGTAGCTCCACTACATAGGCGACACTCTCCTCGTCACCTGCAAACAGGTGACCGCTCCGCTTCATGAAATTGCGGACATGAGTCAAGAAGTGAGGCAGCTGCTCGGGATCCCCCGAGAATTTCCCGATGATACCACGGAGCCTCAGGGCGTCCACTGCCCATTTATCCACTGTCCGGGGGGCTGGCATCAGAGCTGGCTGGGATGCCGAACTTCTGCTCCCATCGCTCGCCCCTTCTTCTGATGGCATCAAGGCGCTGATCGACCTTCGCCTCCAGCCGGGTGAGTCTCTCCTCCAACTTGCGGGTCCGTGACCCCAAGCCCCGGGTCGTCGTGACTCCCGATTCGTTGGGCCCCTGCTTTACGCTGAACGACCATCATTCCTAGGGCGCTCTCTCGGTCATGGCCACAGGGAAAGAAGGTGAGCGCTCCTCGGTGCATACTGGGTAGCACTCAATGGAAAGTCCTGGCTTTATGTAAGGAATGCCCCGTTCATCAAGAGAAACTCCTGTGACACATGTGTAGCACAAAGAGGTTTACTCAAGCGTAACGCAACAGTTACAAAGAAAGCCAGGACTGGCTTGGCACATTTCGTGTTACAATTTATAGCTCTCCCCTTCCTGCACTTCACCCCGTCAAGTTACATGTTGCAGCTTGTCGGTACCCCAATAATCCCCCTTAATGGTCCAAATGGCAGGTTCAGCTAGTTTCCCATTGTCCCTTGATGGCTCTGCCCCTCTGGCATGGTCTTGTTTCCTCGGGGTCCTTTCAGCTGCGCGCAAAGCCAGGGTTTTCTCGATCGCGTGGTGATCGCGCTTCCGCGGCTCGCAGCTTTGTCCTTTGTCTCGGCGCACACTGCTCATCAGAGTGGATACAAAACATCCACTCTGCGGTTTCCTTGTTAAGTGGGCACCAGTGGCCCATTAATCAGCTGTGGCTCTCACTTCCTCTTTTTCCCCAGCTTGCGAGCGGGCGGTAGAATTGGCTCAGCGCGGCTGGCCGGGTTTCCTAGCAGTGCTGCGCCGGCTGAACCTGACACTTAAGAGTTCTTCTTGATCTCCACCTGCCTTGGCCAGATCAGCAACCCCCCTCCCCACTTTCTCTTTTATGTGGGAAAATCTTCCTATGGAAATTAAGCTAACTCCTGTTCTCAGCTTCTACTTATCAGTTCATTCAAGCAATTTGTTTGATATCTGGGCTGTCTTCATGACAGATTGAGAGGTATGGCCTCTTCTGGTTTGCTACAATGTTCATGCAGACTGACTGACTCTTTAAGGCAATAAAATATTGATAAAATCAGTGAAATGCCTCCCAAATAGTTAAACCTATTATTGCTCAATGCCATATAGCCATGTTAATACCTTTTGTTTCTAGGCCTGTTAAAAAAAGTAGTCTTGATTTGCATGGTTTCATGACAGAATCGTAGAAAGATCTGGCCTATTATGGCTTGTCACAATGTTTGTCTATTTTTATTAGCAGATTGGGAGAGTTACCAAATTTTGTTTAATTATGACTGCCATAAGGTGGCTTTGGATTTAACATTAGTATGGCAATGCTTGTTGTCTGATTTATTTCAATAGTCTGTAATTCTATTATTTTCCCCTTATTTTTAGGTTAACTATTATCATGCTTTTTGATATGTTAGTCTTCAAATGTAAATAAATGTCAACTAGGTGAACAAAGCCAACTTGAGTACTGTAAGAAAATAAAGTCTCCTTGCCAAATCCAAAACCTCCAAGGCCATTTAAATATGAACATATAACATTCAAGTGCCTGCTTAAAGTAAAATTTCATTCATTTATTCCTTCTACTTACAGTCAGGTCCAGAAATAATGGGACATCAACACAATTCTAACATCTTTGGCTCTATACACCACCACAATGGATTTGGAAT